CCCCACTCGACCATTCTTGTTGCGACCACCCACAGTCTCCCAATACAACTCATTAGGACTCTTTTTAATCCCTTGGGTGGTGGCTTCTTCAATCTTCTTCTGGTAGGACTCCTACAAGAAATACATTATACAATTATATATGGTTTTAATAATTTAGCAACAACATCAGTAACAAGTAAAGCAACATATAAGTGAAAATGGAATCAATAAACAATAAAAGAACCATATTTCTAAGTTTAAGGGTCTTTATACTCAAAATGAAGTTATTTCAAGCCTTTATGGCTTCTTACATGACTATTTCCAACATTTCTTTACTTTATAACTCATTTTTTGTCAAACCATCTCATATTTACATACTTATAACATATTATGAATTTAAATCACATAAAAGAAGCATATTTCTAAGTTTAAGGGTTTATATACTCAAAATGAAGCCATTTCAAGCCTTTATGGCTTCTTACATGCCTATTTTCTATATTTCTTTACTTTTTAACTCATTCTTTGTCAAACCATCTCATATTTACATACTTATAACATATTATGGGTTTAAATCACACAAAAGAAGCATATTTCTAAGTTTAAGGGTCTTTATACTCAAAATGAAGTCATTTCAAGCCTTTATGGCTTCTTACATGCCTATTTTCTATATTTCTTTACTTTTTAACTCATTCTTTATCAAACCATCTCATATTTACATACTTATAACATATTATGGGTTTAAATCACACAAAAGAAGCATATTTCTAAGTTTAAGGGTCTTTATACTCAAAATGAAGTCATTTCAAGCCTTTATGGCTTCTTACATGCCTATTTTCTATATTTCTTTACTTTTTAACTCATTCTTTGTCAAACCATCTCATTTTTACATACTTATAACATATTATGGGTTTAAATCACATAAAAGAAGCATATTTCTAAGTTTAAGCCAACATAATAAGTAAATCATACAAAATTATATTAAAATTGTTACCGCTATGTTTTTGGATTTGACATTGGCAGGCACCATTCCTTTCCCAGGGACCTCCTTGAAGTGCGTCTTCATGAAAAGCTCATGTGCAGTAGGTAACTGCCCTTTGTTTTTCGCCGCCTTTGAATGTACATGCACAAAAACAAATAAAACTTGTCATTCCAATGTGAACCACAATTGTTACCTATTTACATGCCTTATAAAGAAACTAACCATCCTTTTTGCATGTTGTACAGCTGAAATTGAACCATGGTAGTGGGTTGGTTCAACCACATTGTCCACTGATCCGCCTCTTCTATTCTTCTTATTTTGTTCGTACCGTTTCTTGTACGTATCATCATTGGCAACAATGTTCATCATCTTCCGGTGGACTTCATCAATAAGCTAGCCCGGCTTCCGACCTTTCATCTTGTGTGTGATTGTGTGAAACAGGTCCTTCAACTGATATGCAAACTTGGATTCGAAGGTTGTCTTCACATGGTCCTCCAACTCGGGTGCCCATGTGCATTGCTTCTGCAATTGACAAACATTTAAAGTTAACAACCAAATCTCAAACTTCGCAATTAGTAATACATAGTTGTAATATAAAATGACATACACAAAACAAGTTCCACCAATGCTCCTTTGTTTTAGCATCAACTTCTCCGTAATTCCTCCAAGGCTTTCGATAGTAGCCTGTTAGGGTACCGGAGATGGCCTTTACCATGGCTTTATCATCAAACCTACTTTAACGTACATCAAGATCAAAAAGAAAATAAGTAGTTCAAGTTAGAGTATTCCATAGGTCATGTTATAAAATATGGATACAAAGGGATTGAAATAACAACTAAATATATACCAGCACGTGGCAGGGTCTAGTACCACCCTCTGAGAAGACTGCGAGGCATGTTGCCCCTGAAGCTGTTGCTCATGATGCTCAATCTGCATCTGTGTTTGAGGATCCTCATCGTCAGCCAAATCTTCCGCGTCCTTCGCATCCTCCATTTCCTCATCATCATCATATATCAAAACCTTTCTTTTCTCCTTTCCTTTTCTACTCTTCGACGTTTCTCCTTTTTTCCCTCCCACCATTGCAACCTGAAAAAAACGTTAGTAACATGCTATGATATTATTAACATTACAAAAATTAGTAGTACAATAAGATGTAAAAGTAATAAAATAGAACGACAAACTCCATAATTGGTTTTACAATAACAATCAAATTAAACCGACAATTACATTCAAAGTACAAGCAAATGCATCCTATTTATTTTACAATAACAACCACATTTTCCTACTCGTGGCTTTCATCGCTACTATCACTACTAGTATTATCACCACTATCATCTAAAAACACATCGATGTCAGTATCCTCGTCACTGTCACTAGAGTCGACGCTGGATTCATCATCTGATTCACTTAAGATTATTAAGTCGTCATCATCGTCTTCGTCATCATCCTCAACTGGGTTGTAGTCAGGAATGTCATTCGATGGACAAATTGTTGCATATACTTCTGGGGACGGTGCCTGAAAAAACTCAAGGTCTATTGGAGCATCAACCACTAACAACTCGATCCCGTTTTAGGCTAGGGTAGGATGTGTAGTACACTTGGGTCACTTGATAAGATTATACAAAGGGATCATACTTGGGGTATTTCTTAGTATGATTCACTTCAACAAGCTTATATTGTTCATGTATGTTCATACCCCTACCACAATCCATCCAACTACACTTAAAGAGTATAGTCTTATACTCTTTAATTGGACCAGTGTAGACAAGTTCAATTATATTGTCTAGAATGCTAAAGTACTCTCCACCGTCCTCACTAGACACACAAACACCGTAATTCATCGTAGACTTGTGTTTACCATAGGAATGTGAATGGAAATTAAATCCACCAACAAAAATCCCCTTCCAAGTTCGAACACGCTTGAAAGGACGCATGCACAAAGCTTGGAGGACATCCGAATTTGGTTTCTCTTCAACCACCTATTTACGTCATAATAGAAGAATTAATTACAGAGAATTGCAATATCTAAAAGTCATATTTAAAGAACAGATAGAACAATTCTTTCACCTTATGGTGAAACCAATCAGAGAATTCGACGTCACATTTCTCCATGACTTCCTCTCTACGCAAAAAAGACCGGGTACTAAGAACGTAGTCCTCAAACTTCCTATTAGGTCAATGACACGAGATAAAATTAGTAATTCAACCGATTTAATTCTTCAAAACTATGAATAAATTTCAATCCTGACCACGTATACCTTTCGTATTCACCAAGAATGCCGCAGTTTCGTAAAACGAACAAATGAGCACACTCGAGTTCCTTTTCATCTAAGTACCGAGTTTTACCCTCAGATGAGACACGACCGCTATCCTCCGAGAACAACTCCGGTAAGTCAGCGTTCTCCAATGTGGATTCCACGTCTACATTCACATTTCGACCAAGATCCCGAGTTTTTGTGTCAACTGACGCCTGGATGTAATTTGAGAAAAAGTTTGCTATCTCTTTGGTGAGATAAGCATTGCATATTGAACCTTCAACTCGTGCCTTGTTCCCAATTTTCGTTTCAAGTGATTAAGGAACCTTCATTTAAAATAGTATAATTAATTACGTAAATAGGTCATGACTATGAAGGGTTTGTATGAAAGAAATTAATGGGACTTTGATTTACCTTTCGAAGGGATACATCCATCTATATTGAACAGGACCACATAACTTGCCCTCATACGGAAAATGAATAGGTAAATGATCCATAGAGTTGAAGAATGCAGGAGGGAAAACCTTCTCAAGCTTGCAAAGGATTTCAGCTATGTTTTTCTCTAATCGCTCCATGTCACTAACTGTGATTGTGTAACAACACAAATCACAGAAGAATTAACTGATCTCTGTAATCGCATTCCAAATATGGGTAGGGAGAAATTCCCTCAAAGCAGTGGGCAACAACCTCTCCATGAACACGTGACAGTCGTGGCTTTTCATTCCATGAAGCTTACAGGCTTGTAAATCTACGCATCTGCTAAAATTGGAGGCATATACATCTGGAAAATGCATCTATTTAACCCATTCACACAACACTTTTCTTTGAGCCTTGTCAAGAGCGAATGGGGCTTTTGGCATAAACTCTTTTCCTCTATCATCTTCATCCATATGAAGTTGTGGTCGTTTACAATATTTGGCAATGTCATTTCGAGCCGATGGCGTGTCACATGTATGATTTTTCACATCCATTATGGTGTGGATTAGCTGATCAAAGAAGTTCTTTTCAATGTGCATGACATCCAAGTTGTGACGGATGAGCAAATGCTTCCAATAAGGAAGTTCCCACAACGAGCTTTGCTTGAACCACCCCTTTTTTGCTTTTTTTAGGTGTTTCAATGCCTCCGGTCCATCAGTTGCCTTTGGAAGTTGTCTCACACATTCCCACAATTCCTCACCTGACATGATGTGTGGCGGTGAACCTTTTTCGACTTTGTTTTTACAAAATGCAGTTTTGCCTTTTCGAAAAGGGTGTTCTGTTGGATGGAATTGGCGATGGCAATCAAACCAAGAAACTTTGCCACCATGTTCAAGCCAAAATGCTTTGCTTTTATCCATACAATAAGGACAAGCCTTCTTACCCGCTGTGGTCCAACCAGACAACATACCATAAGCTGGGAAGTCACTAATGGTCCACAGGATGGCTGCTCGAAGATTAAAATTTTGTTTCCTTGAAATGTCATAAGTATTTGCGCCAACTTCCCATAAATGCTTCAACTCTTCTACCAGCGGTTGCATATACACATCCAATTTGCCCTTAGGGTTCTTAGGACCAGGAACAAGCAATGAAAGAAACATGAATTGTCTTTTCATACACATTGAGGGAGGCAAGTTATAAGGGGTCAATATGACAGGCCAACAAGAATATTGTCCCCCAAACTTACCATGAGGAGCAAAACCATCTTTACACAAGCCAAGTCGAACATTACGAGGCTCATTGGAAAATTCTGGGAAGCAATTGTCAAGGTGTTTCCAAGCTTCACTATCACTAGGCTGCGCCATTGTGCCTTAAACTCGAGGATTTTTCAAATTCCATGTCATTTCCTCCGAAATGGTCTTGGTTGCATAGAGCCTTTGCAATCTCGGTGTGATCGGAAAGTAAATTAAAACATTGAAAGGCACTAAGCTACCTTTGGAAGTCTTCTTGTATCGGTCGCTACCACACACTCGACATGAAGATAGCTGAACAACATCCTTCCAAAATAGCATACATCCTTTCGGGCATGCATGAATCTTTTCATGAGGCAACTCCAGCCCCTTTACAATCTTCTTCACCTCATAGAATGTATCGGCCATATGGTTGTTGTTAGGAATAGCCTCATTGACCAAAGAAGCAAACCCATTAACACATCTATGGGGCAATTTATATTCGCACTTAAGACTAGTAATTCGGGTATCCATCTCTAAGACAGACAACGAACTCCCTTCGTATAATGGTTGTTCGGAAGCTTTTAACAAGTCTAAGAAATGCTTAGCTTGTGCATTAGGCTCCTCCTCTACCTCTTTAGAATGCCCTTGATCTTCATTATGACCAAAAGCATCGAAAACCATTTCACGGTATTCATTTGACGGCCCTTCAGGAACTCCCGGAAACCCTTCCCCATGAAACATCCACGCATAGTAATTAGGCACAAAACCCTTGCGATACAAATGAATTTTAACCGTTTCCGCATCCCATAGCCACTTGTTCTTACATTTAAAACATGGACACCTAACTTCATTCGGGTTGCTGCTCTCGGGATGATCTTTCACGTATTTAAGGAATTCATCTACCCCTTTCACAAAATCCGGATTAATAGAATGTCCAACCTTCCTTTCATACATCCAGCTACGTTCTGTTCGTTTCATGATTACAATTTCTACACAACTCACGAATATGTATAATTACATTAGTCACAATGCGTATTGAATATTCATTATCCATAAAAATGTTATGAATATGCAAATAAGATTGTAAATCATGTCCAAAGGTCCTTATAACTCCAATCTAACCCATCCTTGGACATTTAATCTCACTAGCGAATGTATGCCAGGTTTTCAATTCTATGGAAAATCCGGCAGCATTTCCCTTAAGTTCTCCAAGTACATGATCAAGGGTATTAGATAACCCGTCATATGTACCCAGAGAACATTGTAGAGAAATGACAAAGCAGGATAATCCCTAGAATCAATAACAAGGCATACATTCACCACCTAAGTGAGAATAAACGTCTAAGGACAGTCCCAACCGGGGACTATTCAAGACATACTCCTAATGAGTATGACTTGAACGGGTATCTAGGCAAATGATTATGCAAATGATTCATTCAAAAGTATATAAAGCCAAAAACACATCCATTGTTATAATACATTCATTATAAGACATCCATCATTATAACACGCTCATTTTAAAATATTTCAAGCAAATAACACAACCATTATAAGTAAAGAACACAATTAATTAAATTAAATTAATAATTATAAGTAAACCAAATATATCATAATCATCATTTAATTAATATAAAAAATCATATGTAAACAATTTATATTCATAATTAAATTAATACAAAAAATTATTAATCATTACATTAACTAAACAAAACTAGTGAACATTACATTACATAAAACAAAACTAATATACATTATAAAATTATCACAAATTAAACTAAGCTAACATAAATCATTATACTAAACAAAACCAATATAAACTAACATATAATCCCGTACATTATTATAATAAAATATCAACCTAAACTAACATATCATGTCATACATTATTATGATAAGCCCCTACATTATTATAATTTCACATGTCATGTCTTACATTATTACGATAAGCCAAATTAAACTAACATATCAACCATTATTATAATAAAATAAATCAAACTAAAGTAACTTAAAATTATCACAAAATAAACTAAACTAAGAATTTTTAAAAATATCATGTCACTAACCTCAAGATCTGCACTATTTATTGAGATTCAAAGCAAGTAAATGCTCAAATCCTACAAATAGTAAAAATTAATATGTCAATTTTTATAATAAAGGTACAATTATTTTTTAAAAAATAATATATATATATATATATAATAAATGTACAATTATCGGCTGTAGAACGGCGGGTGGTGAAGATGGTGGTGGTTCTGGTCGGAGCGAGGACAATAATGGAGGAGGAACCGGCGGTGGTGGCTACTTGTAAAGGCGCCGGCGGTGGTGGCTGTTCAAAGGATTTGTCAGACTAAAATTTAAAAATAAAATTAAAAAAAAAAAAACAAACACGAAACCTACACTTACTAGCGGTGGAGAACAGCGTGGTTGGGCGACGCGGGACCTCTGACCGGCGCAGTGGTGGTTATTGCAGACGGTGGTTAATTGTATTGGAGGCGTGTTTATATTTAAAAAAAAAAAAAAAAAAAAAAAAAAAAAAACCTACACATACCGGCGGCCGACCAACGGAAGGGCGGGTCGACCAACGGAAGACGGATCTCCGGCTGCGGCGAGCGGCTGGGCGACGTTGACTCTTCGACGGCGGCAGATCTTTCTTTCTTCTTTCTTTCTTCTTTCTTTTGTTCCTCTCTGTTTCTTCCTCTCTCTTTCTTTCGAATTCGTAGCAAATGGACACCAACATCAAAACCCTTGACTTTTGTCTAATTAGTTTTCCGACGGAATTAATTCGGTCGGAAAACATAGTTTCCAACGGAATATTCCGTCGTAAATAAATTTACGACGGAAATATTCCGTCGGAAACTATATTTTTTCGACCGAATAAAATTCGATCGGAAACTTTGCAAGGAAATTTCCGTCGGAAAATATGTTTTCCGAACGAAATTAGCGTCAAACTTAAATCCGTCGTTGATTATAGGATTTGCGACGGAAAATCATGTCCGTCGGCATAATTCTGTCGGAAATTGGCCCATTTCTAGTAGTGTTCCCTTTTGGACGCCACCGTACTTTAGTGTATGATCACAGTGGGGTTCAAGCTAGTAGGATTTTTAAAGCTTGAAATTATTCCCTACAGTTAGCAAGTAGGAAATGTAAACCCAATGAACTAAAAATAAAGAAGATTATCCTAGAAAAGAAAAATTACCACCCCGAAAAGATGCCTTTGTCCTCCCTAGATGGTTCGGTCTCGTGTTTGAGAATTATGAGTCAAGATTCAAGATTAGGTTTGCAATAGTCAAGGATCCATGCCGCTCATGCAAGATATGTAGAAGGCGTGAAAGCAATGGAACCTCACATGGTTTTAGCAAAAACTCAGTATTAGCTTCAAATTAATCAAAAGGGAACAATTGCAAATTTTCAAAAACAAATAGAATTCGGCTTTAAGGTCCCAATAGTTCTAAGCGACTACCTTAGCATACTTTATCTTAGAATCAACCAAACATACTCTCAAACCGTGCACACCTTTACCATTTAAGAATAAAAGCATTCAACTATACAATTCCAAAAGTATTATGTCCAAAGCAAGAACAAAACAAAGATACATTACAAATTTGCCTTGAAAGAAACAAAAATCTTTTTGTTGTTTTTAAAATATAGAACATGGAAATGGATATACAAATGTGCATGGCATATATGAATCAACATCCCACCAAACATGATAGAATATCCTCCCCCAATCTTGAATGAGACAATACACTCAAACATATATCAAATAATCCATGGGAGGGGAAAACAAAGAGATGAGTCTAATAAACCAACATATATCCAACAAGTCATCATCCACTTGAGAAAGAGCAAGGAAAGATATTACCGGATATTAGGGTGGTGTAAATACCCCTAAATGACCCAATTAAACCTTTCAAAGCTAATTTCCTCAAGAATTGAACCTTGCTTTCCGTATGCTAGAAAAAATATGAGTCAAACTTCCTTGATTCTTGATCCAAATCGAAGCACCAAAGTACATCAAGTCATGTACCTAGCAAAAGGCACGCAAGAATTTCCATTAGAGAAAATCTATTCTAAAAAGAAAAGAAAATGAAAGCATTAAAACTCTAGTTACTTCCCTAGAAAGGCTTTCTTAAGGTCCAAGTTTGACTACTATAGTTTAATAGTATTGCAACAAAAGCAAGAGCTTGTCAAATGCACTACTACACATTTCGTAAGATAACAAGTAGGCAAATTGCGGAAAAAGGATGTGCAACAAGCTTAGTGCACACCCATGAGGAGAGAGATACCAAGAAAAGGAAGAAAATTCAAAAGAAAATTCAACAACATAAGAAAAAGAAGAAAAAGAAAGAAGAAGAAGAAGAAAGAAGAAGAAGAAGAAGAAGAAGAAGAAGAAGAAGAAGAAGAAGAAGAAGAAGAAGAAGAAAGAAGAAGAAGAAGAAGAAGAAGAAGAAGAAGAAGAAGAAAGAAGAAGAAGAAGAAGAAGAAGAAGAAGAAGAAGAAGAAAGAAGAAGAAGAAGAAGAAGAAGAAGAAGAAAGAAGAAGAAGAAGAAGAAGAAGAAGAAGAAGAAGAAGAAGAAGAAGAAGAAGAAGAAGAAAGAAGAAGAAGAAGAAGAAGAAAAGAAAAAAAAAAAAAAAAAAAAAAAAGAAGAAGAAGAAGAAGAAGAAAAAATTAAGGCAAACTCTCCTTAAGATATTTTTGGGTGGCAAATTCACCCTTTTCCTCAACAATAGACGAATGAGGGACATTAAAATCATCATAGACAAGAGGGTCCCCAATAGACTCATTGACAAAAGAAGGGAGGGAAATAGGAGTGTAAGGGACATGGTTGAATCTTCTTGAAAAAAGGGTATGAGAAAAGGGAAAAGGGGTAGCTACTCCCTCACCACAAGGTCTCACATCGCCAATGAGGGAAAAAAATCAATCATAGAATCTTCAAAAGAAGAAAACTTATGATCTCCATCCCCCTCAAACATCCAACTTCCAACAGGAACAACATAATCTCCTCCACTACATTCATGAAAAACAACTCCCTCAGCTTCCTTAAAGCCCAAAGTCTCATAACCATGAATGAATGGATGCAAATTCATTTCATAATCATCTCTCTCCCATGAATAATTTTCAATGAACTTACTTAAAAGGCTATGGGTATTCCTTTGACACTCAATAAACACATTGGACATAACCTCAAACAAGTCCAAATACTCATGGATAGAAGAGTCACATTCATACACTTGAGACTCATTACAATCAACAAAGGAAGAAAAGTCTAGATTCATAATATCATCAAAATCATCATCGCTCTCAACTCCCTTTCCTTCACTCCTATGCTCAACAATAGGATTCTCACACCCTCTTAGTTGCTCGTGAATATCATCATCATCATTCTCAACACACACATTGGATTTTAAGTTTTTATAAACAAGCATCAAGAGTGATATTTGACATTCTAGCTCTTCACCAATCCTTCTTCTCTCCTCCATTAGACCTTCCCAATTAGCAATAGGAGATTCAAAAGGTGTAGAAGATTGAGGCTCAACAAGAGAAGAAGTGCGAAAAAGATTGAAAGAATTGACATTAAGATCACAATCATATAAATCACATTGGGGAGTGGGGGCATAATCAAATATGTGAGATTTGTTAATTTGGGCATGTACCTCATTATCATGAACAAAAGAGGAATTAGAATTGGAAGCATTTGTTCTAGTTTCAACTATGGGAACATGTGACACATCATGGGAAATCATGCTAGCATTAGAAAAATTAACACATTGCACATCAAAATTAGAAGCATGATTACCTCCATTATAAACTTCCCAAGCAAACAAAACATAGAATTCCCAAGCATCATCAATAGAAAATTCTCTTAATCTACCATTATGAATTCCTTAAACCATGTCCCTAATTTTCTCATTCAAACCTAAATAACAAATCTCACAATCCTCCCAAAGATTACATTGATTATAGTCAAGAAATCCCT